CTCTTTTAGTTTTACACAGATTTAAGACAGTTGGATGAGTGAAAATAAATGGTTAAGATTAACAGTAGGAAATGAGAATATTATAGGGATATGATCTTGTTACTACGTAGGTTGTCATCTCAACCCCATTAAATGTTTTAATTAGTATTTTATTTAAAAATATTAAAATGTTTTTTAAATTGAAAATTAAATTAAATTTTAAAAAAATAAGGGTCAAATTGATGAAAACAATAAATGTTAAGATTCAATTTATCATTATACCTTTTAATAATGATATTATATATATATATATATATATGCATAAATTAGGAAATTGATTTAGTGGATATTACCATTAGCCAAATGCCCAATGGGTTGCAAATAAGCATCCGTGTCCCATAATACCATTGCTTGAGACCCCCGAAAGGTGGTGGTGGATCAAACTCACGTTGTATTTTCCCTACATTGCTCACTCTTGCGCATGTGACATCCACGAGTTCGATGGTGACACTTTGCCATGTGGCCTGATGTCTCATCGACCAAGCTTCATTGAGCCTACCAAGCTACGCCACTTGTTATATTGGAAAACAACAAAGTCGTATACTATATATATGATTTTATGGGCAGCAAAATCAATAGCTAGGCTGATTAGGCACAATGATTGTTTTCTTTTTCATTCATCAATATATTTAATTAGTTTCTTCTTGTCCTTACTCGTTGCTCAAATTTAATTTTGGAAATCTGAAGAAGATGTAGAATAATCTAAAGAACCCCAAAAGGAAACTTAAGGAGGAAGAAGAAAAAGAAGTCCCATCCTCATAGTTGTAGTTGAAGGTTTTATTGTGACTCTTAGTTGATAGTGTCATATCTAAGGTCATGATTAATACTCCTAAGTTGATTAATTAAATGGATATGATCGTCTGAAAATGAATTTAGCTCTGAAAGATCATATATCTATTAATAATCATGTAAAATATAATGTCAAAAGAAAATAACTGGTAGAGAGTATGACAATATATAATTTGTGGTTGATGGAAAAGAACCCTTCAGAGGTCTCATGTTACTCTAAAGACTTTGGTTTTCAGCAGAGTTATTTGTGGAGGAGGTCCAAAAGAAGTATAACAATAGTGATTTATTATTCAGCTTGAAATGACAAGTTGCTTTCAGATCATCCATGGATATAGAACATGTCCTGTGCTCATTTCTGTTTTGTCCATAGATATCCACATGTTTTCTTACGCTCAAATTAGCTGTATGTTTTTTAGGATCTGAAGCAAATTGGTTTTTCTGCAACAGTTAGAGCTGAGCATGCCATCCGCATGCATGAGAAACACTTATACGTTACAATGGGTAAAAGAAAGCAGCCGACTCGGTCAGGAGAAGACAAAACTTCAAATAATGGACGTAGTCTCGTGTCTTGAATCATAATTGAAATACTGCAGCGTTCCAATTATGCTATCTAATGTGACTTTCATATGGCCGGAAAAGTTAACATTTTTTGTCATTTGATCATATAAATGGTGACAATCCATAGTAGCTGATCTGGAAACACAATGAAGTTGTGATTTTCTCGAGTGGTGTCCTGAAAGAGATGTGCGTATAATTCAACATTTGGACCACTTTTTAAGTTGAAAAATGATAAACATGAATTGGTCCACTGCCTTAAAAGGCAAGAACACTTGAAAGCTAAAGGGACTAACCACGAATCTACGATGACCTAGATCAGCCCTATATTCATGCAAAAATATCGAGATCAACTATATGTTAAAATTTCCCATAATAATAATAATAATAATAAACTTTCCGTTCTTAATTATTTAGCTCATTCGATCTTTTATCAACCATCAAGTTGGCATTTGACTAAAGTTTAAGAACAGTCGTTGCATCCATGTTACCTCAACAACTCCACTAGCATGACGAAAAAGTCGAACCACACAGCCATCCAACGCAAAATTCAATGTCGTAATGCTTTTATGTTTGAATAATGACCTAACATCAATTACTTTTCCAGGTTCTTCGTATATTATTATCCTTCCAATATCAGTTTCGTAGGGTTCATTTTTATACATCTATAGACGATCTCCGAAAACTTTTAAACCTCCAACAGACCGGATTTATTGAAACTGCCTGCTCTTCATTCATCAATGCCTCTGATTAGCCTATATCTTTTGAATACAAGTTTTAAGTCAATTGTAGTGCATAGACATGCCTTCTGATAGGTCCGTGTGACTTATCAGAATGTAATCTAAGGTCTAACAGTTAGATTTGCCTAACTTGCTAATCTACAAATAGTTATAATGACCATATGACTGATACACACACTAAATATTACTATAAATACTCCCAATTAAGACTGAAAAAGGATGGAAACAGCTTCATAACTACTGGATCATCTTCTTCCTCCTCTATGACGAAACCTCTTCCCTATAAAAACACCTACTAATGATCATCCTTTCACCAATTGCGATTCCACATTTAAATCAGAAGGAGTAAACTGTCGATTAAGACTAAAACGATAAACAAACACTACATGCTCGATTGGCATTTTGATCAAATTTTATAGTATTCTTTTGAGATTTTATGGAGAATGTTTCTTCTGTAAGTTTAAGGAAGCCCCAAAAGAATAGAAAAAGATATTTGGGCCAAGCCCGTAAATATGGCATTGGAGTTCGTTTTATGGAGCATCTTAATTGTAGATTTTCCAAACTGGTACTCCAAACTCTTGACCTTTTATAATTGGGTCCAATCCATTTCCTTGCCTATTGTCTTATCTGTTCCATGAAAGCAATATATTGGGCTTTTCAACTTTTAGCTTCAAGCGTCTTTGTTCGGTGTTGCGATCTACATAACACAAGTTTTCAACTGGAGGTATTTAAGCTATAAAATGTTTTTTTTACCATTAATTTTTTAAAAAGTATAAAATAATTATCAATTTTTTGAACGGTTATAAAAGTATTATTGTGAAGTTAACTATTATTAAATGAGTGATGTGATGTGATGTATTAAACACGTCAACTTAATGGTTAATATTTTTTTTATCTATCAATTGTAATTATACTAATAACAAATGATTTAATAGATAATATTTAAATAATTAAATAGTCTAATTGATAAAAATAAAATATAGATGATCAAAATAAAATCTATCCATAATTAAATGTTATTTGTGTAATTTAACTTAAATAATATTAAATAAAGATATCAAAATTTCTTTGTAGAAAACAAAATAAAAATAAGATATTCTTTTAACTTCTTTGAGTAATAAAGAAATTATTGTTATTCTTTTATTCTGAATTCGAGCACCATGAATATCAAAGATGTGAGGGTTCAATGTCAGATGATTAAGAGTTATCTTTAAATAAATATTAACTTATGTTTATCCTAAATTAATAATAAAAAAATTATCTGAACTATTATATGTGATTAAAGATACTTTTTAATAAAAGATGTCTTTTAAAAAATATTATTAATTAGATCTATTTTTATCTCACGTGATTAGAAAATACTATTAACTTGTAAATTAATTATAAGAAAAGACCAAAACAAATGATTCATTCCAATTCGGAATGGCTTGTAATTATTATTGCAAGTACAGCACGCAAACGAGGAAGGTGAGTAGGATGGCCGCTTCATTGTCTGTAATTTATCACACGACAACATTTAGATGTCGACATGGCATCTTCCATACCTACATTTTCCAACTCTACTCTACTTTATAAGTCACATGGATTCCAACAGTATTTTATGGTGGGACATTAAATACAAATATGACACGCTCTTTCTAATACGTAACATGGACCGACGATATTTATTTTACGATTTTGATTTCTTTACATTGTTCTTTACATTTTTTTTTAATTTTAAATCATTATTATTTAAAATTTATTATTGATACAAATAAAAAAAATATTTTAAAAACTTTCAAAGAAATAATTTTAAAATATATATTTTATAAAATCTAGTTTTAAAATATTTAAAACTATAACGATCAAAATTCAAAAATTAAAAAAACTATTATACCAAGAAACATAATCCGTGAAATGGGTTAACAACTTTAAATTTTAAATAATTTTAGTGTGGGGATCAAATAACATTAAAAGAATGAGATATAAATTTTAAAAAATATGTTAAAATAATAAAAACCTTAGGGTTTTTCTTTACTCTCCACAAGCATCGCCCGTCCTTTTTTATTATTATTTTTATCGATAAATGATTTACATTAATATTGGTGTTCATCTATTTTTTATTTTTCTTTTACTCTATTATATTATTTTTGTTTTCTTAGTTTTTAATAACTCTATCTTTATGACATGTTTTCACTTATTTTTATCACACATTCTCTTATATCTTTTATCATCTTTTCAGTTTTTTCATCGATTATTTAGTCTTTTTTGTGTATTTTTTTTCTTCAAAATTTGAGTTGATCTTATCTCTATTGATGAAATTGACACTTATTTATTTTCTTGTTTTGGACTATCGAATTGGATTTTCATATATCATTTGCGTCATGGGTAGTTTTCTCATGTCATTCAATTATTATTTGTGATTTGTCGATAGTCTTTTAGTAATTTGATAATCTTTTATGATTCGTTTATTGATGTAATCATACTTGTTAGTATCCATCTTCTATTAATTTTTAGTTAAATTTTTATCATTTTTCTTATATGGTCATTGTATAATTACAAATAAATAATTTATTGTTATGATTGTAAACTTTTATTGTAATCTTAGATATTTCTTTTTTTTAATAAAATTAATAATTTTGATAAAATAATTTAATATAATTTAAGTTGCATTGTTATTTTTTTAAAAAATAAATATTTAAAGTAATTTAAGATTGAAAAGATTAAATTAGATTGTTAATATTTAAAAGAAATAAAAAATATTTAACAATTTAACTTGGCAACCCCGTTCAATGCCCGTGGAATATGTTAATGATGGTGCTAATATAATGTTCATCATATTATAAAGTACAAAAATGTCATCATATAACTATCTCATCGTTGTGGTATCTTTGCAAAACGATATAATTTCCTCCTTCCCTCCTTTTTCTTACCTCTCGTTTCTCCTTTATTTCTATATGTTAGGAAGGTGACTTGTTTATCTTCTGCCTCACACAGACTATCACAATCCCAAAAACGCTGAAGTGACCTACAGAAAGGAGATAATGTGGGGGAAAAGTGTTACCGCAATAATGGTTGCAACAGAGTTCTTAGAGGTGGGCTTAAACACTGTAAATAAAGCCGCTATGAACAGAGGACTCAGTAATTTCGTGCTCGTTTTTTACTCGAACGTGCTCGGCATCTTCATGCTCGCCCCATGCATTATCATCTTCTACAGGTAATAACAATTTCCATTTTCTTTCTTCGGCTTCATCAATTCGAATTCCGAGAAGCTGGGTATCGGTAAAATTGCAGGAAAAAGAGCCCACCTGTGCTTACACGGTCCACCATCTACAAAATATTCCTTCTAGGCGTTCTCAGGTAGGTTTTCGTTTTCCTCTTTAGAGATGGAGAAATCTGGTGGTGGGTGGATTGATGAACGGAATTTAGTTGTTGGAAATTTGGGTTTTTCAGTTATGGTGGGCAGATATGCACGTATATTGGATTAGGATATGGATCTCCGACTCTGGCGTCCGCCATGGCTGATCTTACTCCGGCCTTCACTTTCATCTTCTCTATCATCTCTAGGTGCGTCCTTCTTTCTGACATACGGCTTAGATTCGTTGGTATCAACATCCCTTTAATGTGATTATATAATATATATCATATTATTTAAAGTAATTATATGATAATATTATATTATTTAAAATAATGATGTGTCATATGTTATATCATCCAAAATCAAGAGTGATAACATGTCATATATACATAATTAATTAAGTATATGTAAAAATGACATATCAATAACATATGTTATTATTAATTAATTAACGTTTTTCGTCCAACAAGTGTTATTTTAATAAAAAAAATTAAAATATTAGAAGTTAAAATATTGAAAAAAATAAAAATTAAAGTGACAATTTAAATAAACGTTAAGATTAATTTTAGCATCATACCATTATAAAAAGAATAAAATTGTTAGTTTTTTTCTCGGCAATGTATTGTTTTTATTAAAGGAAAATTGAAAAAACAAGATTCATATGCTTCAATTAAAAACCCCTCAAAATAAAAAGAGAAAAAGAGCACATAAAGGGGATCTATATTACAAAAGAGACTCATCAAAATAAAATTGTTGTTGAAAATAGAGAGCGAAGTTACATAGATATTCTATAATGTTATATTGAAAATAAAATGAAGTTATATTGAAAGATGAATTACGGATAGGAGGAATGAGGGACGAGTATTTGAATTAATTGAGTTGGTTTGAGTTTTTTTTAGTTGATTTAGTTGACAAGCAATATTTTATCATAACTTTATTTGAAATTTTTTGAGTCGAATTTGAGGTATGAAATTCAAGTAAAATTGATTCAAAATTTATTAACCATTAATTAATATTTAATTTAAAATTTTGAGAAAATATTTAATTTAAATATTATATACAAAATAAAAAAATCTAATGATTAATAGAATATTATCAACAATTAGTTGATCTAGTGAGATGAGACACTAGATCTCTTAAGCAAACGTCAGTGGTTCAAATTTAACGTTTATGAAGAGAGTAAATTGGATTGGGAGGGTAAGTCTCGTCTCCGTGATATCTAATCTATATTAATCTATTAATAAATTAAAAATCTGTCATCATACCAAAATAAAATATGACGCATATATGTCGTATGGTTGATCTGGTTGGTCAAATGTCCTTTCACTTGAAATATAATGGCATGATTTTAAATATTTTCAAAATAAACTAAAAATTAAGGGGACCTAATTTAATATTTACCTACATATTTTTTTTAATATAAGCTTCGTCCATGCTAATAACAAACATCTTGAAATGGTGTGTCCAGGATGGAAAAGCTGGACCTAGGGATCAAAAGCAGCCAAGCAAAGTCTTTAGGCACTTTGGTATCAATCACAGGGGCATTTGTTGTGACTTTATACAAAGGTCTTCCACTTACCACTGTTCCATGGAACAACAACAGATTGCTTCACCAAGTTCTTCGGATTCCTCACTCAAACTGGATCGTCGGAGGCTTTTTCCTTGCGTCCCATAGTGTTATCTTCGCAATCATACTTAACGTTCAAGTACACCCTTAATCCATATACAATAAACCAGTTTGTTTTCAACGCATAATTTTGCTGCTAACACTCATCTGCAGACGTGGATTATAAGGGGGTACCCTGCAGAAATGCTGGTCACACTCATGTGTAGCATCATCGTGGCCATACTATCCTCGGTTGTCTCGGTGATGGTCGAGAAGGACCCGGATGCTTGGCGAATTGGGATGAATATGGAATTAATAGCTTTCGTATACACGGTAAGGAACTAAAATAGAACATGAAATCTAATAGTCGAGAAGCTCATAGTCGGGCCTACTAAACTCGGTGCACCCGATCGTGGTTTTGTAGGCGGCTTTTGCGGTAGCATTTCGAAGCGTGGTTCATAAATGGGCGTTGAGGAAGAAAGGGCCTATCTATGTTTCCATGTTTAAGCCACTTGAGATGGTCATTGCTCTTGCTATGGGGATCACCTTTCTGGGTGACCAGCTATATCTTGGGAGGTGAGTGTAACTTTCTGCATGCAGTAAACATAAAAATGAAATAATATCACTATGCATACATTAAGATTTGAATTGTGGATCATGTGGGTGCAGTTTGCTTGGAGCAGCCATAATAGCCATTGGATTTTACGCTGTGATTTGGGGGCAAGCTCAAGAAGAGAAAATTGTAAATGACACTGAATCTTCTATTAAAGATCCTTTACTCTCAAATACACCCTCGGTGATATAGTTTATTTTTACTCGCTACAAATATAATATGGAATAAGCTAGTAAATCCCTTTCTATAAACAACAGATTCTCCTCATAAAGTATTGTATATTGTAAATTCGGATATTTAAATTCGATTCTATGTTAAAAAATAGTAATAATTTTATTTTTAAGGTATTGAAATTTTGGACATATTGAGAATCTAGACCAGAACTCTTGGTTTGTAGGATAAATCATACTGATTTGGAGCAGATGTTTCGGCGCTTTGTTTTATGTTTAAGCTGGTGGGTTGGGGCACTATGCATTGCTACAATGATTTAAGGTAGGGCCATGGTGATTCTCCACCACAGCTTCAACCATGAAATCAATAACATTTTAGACAATGGTCCGTAGTTAACTTAATATGTAGGTTATAATAACATTTTGATTCAATTAAGCGACTTGATTAGTTAAAAAGAATATTCTTCCTAAAGATTTTAGGTTTGAGTAATTATATTTACAAGATATGTTTATTTTTAATATTCAAGAGAAATTATGAAACTATATTATATTATAATAATATATATTATTAAAAAAATTAATTTCGATACATTCGTCAGCATAATAGGAACCAATGCACTAATATTAGTCCAATACAGACTAAACTCCATATTAGTAGCTAAAGCTCGGCGGTTAGTATATATTATTTTCATCTAAACAAGAGTCACAAAACCGTTTTTTTTAGTTTATATCATTTTTTATAAATCATATCAATTTTTCTTTCTTTGGTTTTGTTTAATCGGTAGAGACACCGATTTTAATGTTGATTGTTGACCGTTGATTCTCTTATTTATTTGTTTCTTTTTTAGTTTTTTTAATAATAATAATTATCTTTATGATACGTTTTTATATGCCTTTATTACATGTTTTTCTCAGCCTTTGTGACACATTTTTTGTCTTCTTTCTCGGTCGTTTGGTCGTTATTTTATTTTATGTTTTCTCAGGGTTGTATTTGATGAAGACGCCACGACTGATCAAGATGGAGCTTATTTGTAATAATATTGTTTTTCTCTGCTATGGACCCTCTGATTGAATTTGAATACGCGATTTTGCGTTTGTTAATAGTTTCTCACGACACTCAGCTCTGATTTGCGATTTTCAGTGGTCTTTCAATAGTTTAATCCTCTTTTTGGTTCGTTTGCCGGTACAGTCAGATTTGTTTGTATCTACTCTTTGTTCCAGTGTTTTGGTTGAATTTTTAACATTTTCCATGTAAACTCTTATTATAATTTTGGATATTTTTACTTTTTAAAAAGACTAAAGGCTTCTATTTAAAATCTCTTAGTTTTGATTCATCTTTAATTCTTATAAATATTTTTTTGAAAGAAATCTCTAATTTTATTCAAAATAGGGAATCTCCTAAATTACAATAAAGATTCACAATTATAATTGTAAATTAAGTACATAACTAGGACGATTTCCTATAATCATTGAAACAAAACTAGCAACTTAAGATCACAAAATGACCATACAAGGAAATATTAAAATCTAACCAAGAAAACTCGAACAAAGATAGATACAAACATATTTGATCGCATTGGCAAACAAACAACAAAATAGAATCAAACTATTGAAAGACTATCGACAAACCACAAATCAATATCAAGCGACGTGAAAATCTATTCATGAACACATAATGGGTTTCCAAATCTAATCTGAGGGTCAAAGGCAGGGAAGATCAACAATATAACATATAAGCGACATCTTGATCAGTCGTGGCGATATCTAATCAACCCTTAGAAAAATATAAGTGAAAACAACTGCCAAGGCTAAAAAACGTGCCAAATGCAGAAGAAAACGTATCATAAAGATAGAGGAAAACGTGTCATACTAGAAGACTTATTGAAAATAAAAAAAATAAGAGAAAATAAAACGACAATAAAAAATACTTGCGGTCGGCAACTAAAATTAAAATTTGTGTCGCCACCAATCAACAAAGACAAGAAAAAGAGATAAATCACTTACCAATAAGGAAAACTAAGAGAGAAAACTGTCCTAATACATCGGTACATTAACATTATATTTAAACGTATTTATTTATAGTGAATCATATTATTATTTCGTATAGATGCCGACAAATCTGAAGAAAATACCTATGCCCGCCTCTGGTAACCGAGTCGCCATTTCACTCCCCAAGTAGCTTAACGCATATTCCAGGGGCTACTCTTTCGCTGCCTTCTCCTCTCAAAATAAAGCCTTTTCTTTCTTTATAAATTGTATCCCCCAAACACACACGAAACCACAAGGCCAAACACAGTACACTCGGAGAACAACACCAACTTCATTACTTTCTGATCACATCTATTTCTTGTTGTTGTTTGTGTTTGTGTCTTGTTTGGTTTATCAGCCAAACGAGATAAGATGGTTGAACGGATTAGAGATAGAATGATTGAAGTGGATGGCAGGCTTGCACCATAGCATTGACGATATTGGCAAAAACAGCCTTAACAGGAGGGCTTAACCCTTTTGTTTTCATGGTGTATACCAATGCTATTGGCTCTTCCTTGCTTCTCCCTTTTTCCTTCCTTTATCATTGTGGAGAAAGGTCTCTATATATCTTCCCGTCTCTATAAGCATACTCTAGTATACGTACGTAAAAGCTTTGTTTTCCATGTCAGTTCTTCAATGTTGTTTAGTTTTGTTTTTCCAATAATTGCAGCACACAACGGTCGCTCTTCACCTTGCCACTCCTCCTCCGTATATTTCTCCTGGGTTTAACGGGGTAACTCTCTCTTCATTTGGATTCCCCTTTGCAGTTTTGTAAGCTATTTCTTCATGTTCTTTGAAGTGAAAGTGGACCCTTTTTCTGGTGTTGATTTGTAGGATTGCTATATCTCAGAACCTTGCGTTCCTGGGGCTAAGCTATAGTTCACCAATCGTTGTATGCGCAACGGGGCTCCTACTACCTTCTATTTCCTTCTTTCTTTCCATCATTCTCAGGTTCTTATTTTTTTCTCAACCACCTTCATTTTGTTTTTATTCTTCTATTCCAGTTTAAAAACTAAAACTTGTAAGAAAACGTAAATATGTATATGAAACTTCATAATTATATATATTCATTCGTCACTAAAACTTGTAAGAAAACGTAAATATATATAAGAAACTTCATAATAATATTTTTTTCATTCGTCACCCATGCATGATTCATGAGAATGATATTATTAATATATTAAAATGTTTCACTTTAATTCTTAATGTTCATTTTAATATTTTAAAATTAAATTAATTAATCAAATAAATGTCGAGGACTAATTTTTGCGTTTTACCAAAAAGGAAATGGCGTACACGTATCAGACTCAACCGTTCACTATATAATTTAATCATATAGAGTTAGACTATGGTAAATTCTCTCCTTATTAAACGCAATCACTTGAAATTTCATAATTATCACAGGACGACAAAGTTGGATCGGAGAAACTCAAGCAACAAAGCCAAATTGATTGGAAATCATCGTTGTATAGAACTATACAGAGGCCCATTCATACGAACATCACCGGTTTCCCTTGTCCACCCGCTTCAACTTATACCTACACATTTTTTTCCTACTCGAAGCCTGATCGTTGGGTTCTTGTGTTGGGGAAAATGGGTTATTTCCCACACGAACGTAGTTTTAAAATTGACCTAAAATGTCAAGATTAAAACCACCAAAGGTTGCACAGCGGATAAACCTGTCAAACTATTGAATATTGAAACACAATGGAAAAGAAACGAATAAAAAACAATAAAGGAGAGAACACACCAAATTTACGAGATTCGACGAGAATATCGTCTACTCCTCGGGCACCACACCGGATGATAGCTGCACTATATCGCCAATATTACAACAAATGGAATTCTTTGGAATTCCCAAAGTGGGAGAATGAAGAATACAAGAGGAAGAGAGAACTTGTTTTTGGGATAATTTCTAATGGAAATACTTAGGCCTATTTATAGTTGAGTTTCAAGAACAATATGTTCAAAGTTTGGCCACCTACCAAAGAATTTTTTAATGTGTACAAGTTAGCCACCAAATATGAAATTCACATGTTCAAAGTTTGGCCACCAACCAAGATGAAATTTCCAATAAGTTGGCCACCAACCAAGATGAAATTTCCAACTTGTCAACTTAATTTCTAGACAAATCTAACAAATCTCCACCTTGGCTTGAAATTACCAAGCCTACTCAACTTCTTCAACTCCCCAAATTTGTAGTGCCTCTAATTGCGCTCACAAGCGCCACACACCCGAAGGTGTTCATACTTTCAGGATGTTAATCAAGTTCAAACAATGATTGAACTTGATTACTGTTACCACCTTGGTCATCATATCTGCAGGATTTTCTGATGTCGTAATTTTCTGAAGTAGAATCTTTCCTTCTTCAAAGATCTCCCGCACAAAGTGATACCTCACGTCGATATGCTTAGTCCTTGAATGGTAGACTTGATTTTTCGCTAAGTGAATAGCGCTTTGACTGTCACAATAGAGACTAATGTGACTTTGAACAACTCCCAAGTATTCCATCAACCCGTTAAGCCAAATTGCTTCCTTTACAGCCTCTGAAACTGCCATGTATTCTGCCTTTGTAGTAGACAAGGCCACTGTAGATTGCAATGTAGACTTCTAACTTACTGGGGCTTTAGCAAGAGTAAACAAATACCCAGTAGTTGATCGACGCTTATCCAAATCACCAGCATAATCGGAATCAACATATCCAACCATACACTGACCAAGTGCTTCATCCTGTTCAAAAACTAAACCAACATCCACTGTTTGTTGGAGATACCGTAGAATCCATTTCACAGCTTGCCAATGTCCTTCTCCAGGATCATGCATGTACCTGCTCACAACTCCAACTGCTTGTGAAATGTCAGGACGCGTACACACCATTGCATACATCAAGCTCCCAACTGCATTAGCATATGGAACTTTTGCTATATACACTCATTCTTCGTTAGTTTTAGGAGATAATTGAGAACTAAGTTTCAAATGAGAAGCCAATGGGATACTTACATGTTTGGTATTTTCATTCATGCTAAAACATTGTAATACCTTTCTCAGATACTGCTTCTGTGTTAAACAAAGCTTCCCTCTCTGTCTA